TACATTTTTCTTTCACTTATTTTCATAAGAAATTATCAGTATTTTTTAAAATTATTGATTTTTTAAAACACACTTTGAACACAGTTCTTCATTTTTACACAAAGACTTAGCATGTGGATATGGAAAAAGAAGAATCAATAAATCGGATACAATAACCAATGGTCAAATGTAGCCAGGACAAATTAAAACACCAGTATCTCAGAACATTTTATTCTTGGCATCATCTATCTTCTGTTTGCAGTGAAGATATAAAAGACCTTCATAATTCTTATATAAACAGAAAATCTATTAAAGTAATGGTGACTTCATGATAGATGAAGTATCACATACTGTTTATCTGTGAGAAAAGAATAAATTGCAATACTTATTCTAAAAGTATGTATTCTACACATTGGAAATTATTGCCTTCCTGTTATTGCTGAATTCCCGTAAGCTCCACTCAGCATATCCAATACTGAAATATCCTGTGTTCATCGACTACTATCTGGAGTAGTTGTGACAAGAATGTGTGTGTGTGTGTGTGTGTGTGTGTGTGTATGTATGTATGTATATGTATGTATGTATGTACGTATACATACACACACACATACACACATGCCAAACATCTGTGCATATTATATTCAGGAAAGTGGGGAAGTGATAGCAGAGAAATTACAGTGAATGGGACAGACATGTAGATGTCCAAGGATCTCAGACTAGTAGTGGGAGATAAATAGGTTTCTTTGCAATAAAACATAAAATAATGATATTGCAAACTTGCAAGCAACAAATAATAAGATAGTAATTGCATGATTTATAGCAAAGATGGGGAATTTCCATTGTGATAGGATATTTAATGAAAATGAACTCATACATAAGTAGCACATTGATAAAAGTAGAAGATAGAATTAGAGCTATGTATGTATGTTATGTATATAAACCTGATACTTAACAACTTTCCGGTACAACAGCAATTTAATGGAAGTTAGAAATTAGAATAGAACAAAAATGTATACCGTAATTCTTATGCTTAGCAGCTCTGACATCTGAAGTTACAGTTTAATATTCAAATGTTTAGTTATATTATTACTATTTTTTCTGATTATGTAACATTTTAAGGTGTTTTTTTTTTAAACTAACTTTTAATATTAGGGTCTATCTATAACTTGGTGAGCTCAGTTTTCAGTATTTCTCTACTGCCATCTAGGGTTCATCCAGATTTTTGCAAACTGCAGTTGGTAGCTCTACCTAAATGAACATTTGCTTTGTTAACAACTTTAGGGTTTTCAACAGTACAAACCTAAGCAAACTTGTGTTGTATTTATGTAGTGTGAAAACTGCTTTGGTAAACTGCTTTGGTCCTTAAATATCTTTCTCCCTATGAAGGTTTGATTAGGTAAAGTGTCTGTGGGCACCTGAAGAGTGGTGGTGCAAGTAACAACATCATGCATCATGAGGCAACTGATGTAAATTGAATAACTGCATTGTTTGCACAATGGCATACTAATGTACATGTTTACGTGACTTTGATATTGTTGCAATTTCTACAGACACTAATGAAATTATCTTGAAAGTCTTGGTCCTAAAGTCAGGAGGTTTCCAAGGAACTTCATGAGTTTGGTGCTCAATTTCACTTTACAAAATGGTAGCCAACCTCTCTGATCATTAGAAGCATCAATGGGGGATGTTCTTTACTGTTTCAATATTTCTAGCAGTAACTGTGAGCGGGATCTTGGAGTTTTTGTGGACAACCAGTTAAATATGAGCTAACAGTGTGTGGCAGCATTAACAGAGAGATGCAATCAAGATCAAGCGAGGTACTAATATCACTCTATAAAGCCTTAGTAAGACCACTAAGACCAGTTTTGGTCACCACACTACAAAGAAGACGTTGAGACTCTAGAAAAAGTTCAAAGAAGAGCAACTAAGATGATTAGGGACTGGAGATTAAAACATATGAAGAATGCTTATAGGAACCAGGCATGGTAATCTAGTGAAGAGAAGGACCAGGGGAGACATGATAGCAGTGTTCCAGTATTTAGGAGGCTGCACAGAGAGGAAGGTGTCAAACTATTTTCCAAGGCACCCGAAGGCTAGACAAGGAATAATGGATGGAAACTGATCAAGGAGAGATTCAACCTAGAAATAAGGAGAAATTTTCTGGCAGCGAGAACAATCAACCAATGGAACAGCTTGCCTTCGGAAGTTGTGGGAACTTCATCACTGGAGGCTTTTAAGAGATTGGACTGCCATTTCTCAGAAATGATGTAGGGTCTCCTGCTTGGACAGGGGGTTGGACTAGATGACCTACAAGGTCCCTTCCAACTCTGTTAATCTGTTAATATCTATTTCTCTGAAAGAGTTTGATGTCGGAGTACGTCTCTCAGAATGATCTCAGAAAATGGAAAACAGAAAACCCTCTCACAAGACCACATAACTCTCTTAAATACATAAATGCTAACTATTCCATCATCTCAAAAATAATTTGGAAGAAATGCCTCAGACTAATTGGAAGCATGAGCACATCTCTCTTCCATGGAAGCCTGAAAAAAAAAGTATGTTGCTATTTCAGGAGTCACGTCAAAGTTACAATGGTTAATTATAGGATTCCTTAGCTGCACTCCCGAGTTTCTTTTTTTCAGAATTGCTCAAGATGTCTGAAAACAACAGCTTGGGTGAGGCCCTCAGCACTTTTCCAAATCACTTCTGAAAGGTGCATCCCTTCCATTTCAAAGTTATTGAAATAAGAATAGTCTACCCTGGGACTGAAGTTCAAGGCATATGCATTAAGAGAAAGCCTAGAATATTGTCTGCAAAAGATACAAAAGATTTAGAATGCTTTAGCATGTAAATGATAGGCAGTTCAGCTACTAGACTAGATGATCCTTTATTTCTATTGTTTACAGGTTGGTTATTATTATTTTTTGCAAACATCTAATAACTATTCATTCTGTAATGTATGGTTTATTAATTCTGTAATGTACAGTAATCAGAAATGTTCCATCAAAGAGGTCAATATATGTCTATTTCCCCCAGCTGGGACCACTTGGCCTCTCCCCGACCAGACTTGGGGGAGATAAGCTCGCAGGTGACATAAGCGCTTTATTTACATGTGAATCCCCCTCCATCCATCATCTACAGGCAAACAAGGCTGTCAGCACAAAGATGATCTCATCCTTCCTGCAGTTCTGCTCCACTTGGATTGCAGAGGTAGGGCTCCCTCCCCCAACATCTGATCCCATCCAACAAGCAGCAGCAGCCGGGAGCACATGTGAAAACAAGAACCGAGTCAGTCTTACTTTAACTTTGGAATGTGGAGACTGCAACCAAGGAATGAACTGGCAAGAAGAATCTTCTCCCGCTGGAGAAGATACAAACAGTATCAAACCAACCATCCCATGGGACGGGAAGCACTCATCTATATCTTAAAAGGCTCAATGCCGGAGAAACACATAAGGGCTTTCAGAATGATTCTTGGCCAAGATTTCAAGGTCAGTTTGGTCAACACTTTCCATGGGGCTGATGAGATAACACAGGTTAGTCATGCCTGCCGAGAAACTTTTTAAAAAATCTTGTCTTCGTTATTAAAACCGAAACAGAATGACACGGCCTCAACTTATCCCATTGGAACATGTTTCATAATTTCACAGAACTGACATCACATGCTATCACATAGCTGGCCTCAATATTATTTTTTTCTCCACGTATACTTACAATTCATTTAGGAAAGTGGCTACAAAACAACTGAAGTATGAAACTAATGTGATCCTAGACATCTTTCTGACAATATGTTTTGCCGAACCTTTTCTGAGATTTCCAAATGTTTCTCTCATTATCCTTTCTCTGAATAAAAATCAACACAATCTTGTAGAATGTAATCTTGTGGAAACATAAAAGGCAACTCTAGCATGGACCTCTGTTTATATTCAAATCCTAGTTCCATTACAATACACAGGTTATTTTCTAAGTCGTTCCTGGCATTACTTGGCATGATACTTTCTTACAATACATTTCCAGAAATGACATAACCTGGTGTTTTAAAAAATGCTGGAAGATGGAAATTTAAATGCTTACTAATTGTATGAGAAACCTTTCCTAGACTTGTCCCACCATGTCCAGAGGTAATATAGTCTCATTACACCATCCACAGATTATCTCCACAACAAAACAAAACAGATGCAAAAAGAGAATAAGCCAAGAGATAAGAAATAGAATAAATAAATGGAACTAGAAAAAAAATATGGAACCAGAAATCTCAAGGTCCTACTACTAGTTTTGAGAGGAGTTCTATGGAAAGATAATTAGGTAAAAGTAAGATACCATGTCTAGCTCAGAGTGATGCTTACTATGCAGTTGCTTGCAGATAAATGCTATCAGAGGCAAAGTACTTTAAATAATAGTGACTAAAAATCAGGTAGAATTTAAGCAGCACATGTGTCTCGCCCCTGTAGGAAAAAACATTATTCTTTGTTCATGTTTGATTATATCAGACAGTGGGAAGAAATAAACTTTACCCCCTTGTGATCAAGTTCTCCAGAAAATTGTCTTCCTCAGCAGATACACTGGGGGCATCCTGAATTTCAGATCTCCATCACCCTTAATCCAGCTACGTGGGATTCCTTTTCACACAATGGCTTGCACAAAGATCCTAAAGCCAGGTATAACCTGGCACTGTAGAGAGATTGTGAAGTGCAGAGCGCAGAACATAGCAAAAATAAAGAGAGAAATGAACGGCTTACCTTGAATTGCGCTTTTCCTGCTTTGCAGTTGTTATTGTTGTAATTTTTCTCTGCACTGGTGTGGGAAGGCCCTCTGAATATCCCTTCTTCCCCTAAACCAGCTTTTCCATGCCAGTTGGACAAAGTAATCTTCTTAATGGAACGGGACAGCGAATTGCTATTGATGCAATCATCATTGGTGACCTCTTCTTCAATAGGACTAGCGCTTTTAAATCTTTCTCCAGCAGGCTCCAGAGACGTCTGAGCCAGATACAGGGAAACACACTCATTGAGGTTTTGGTGCAAGTCATGGTTATTCAGAGCATCGAGAGGAATGTCAGTACAGCTGTCTCTTGGAAATTCCAGGGAACACTTGGGTAGAGATAATTTGGTGCTAATCGTGAACGGTTGGACCTTTCTTGCTGTGCTACCGGACATTGTCTCCCTAGCACACGCCTTACAGGGGCCCTAGAAAAATGCTAGGACACAAGTCTTGATAAACTCCCCCTGCTTTTGGTAGGAAAGAAAGGACCTCTTGTAGGAGGGGCATAGAAAAAAAGGCAAAATCAGAAGTGACAAGATTTGCCTTGGCTTCTTCCATCCCATGCCAGAAAACTCAAGCCGTGGAGACTATGCCCCATTGGATCCGATCTGCTCTTCTTTTCCTCAAGCGTCCACCTTTGTGAGCTCTCTCACAAGTGAAGCTTCTTAAATTGTTCCAAGAGGACTTCCAAACCTGCTTTGGTTTTCTAGCAGAAGTTACACAGCTGTCACCCAAGCCAGGTCTCTGGGCAGCGGTAGTTAGTTAGCTCTGTGAGGAAGTCACTCACTCATCGATCAGTTTTGCCGGAAAACAAAGGCGGGGGAGAGAGAGAGAGAGAGAGAGCGCAGAATCGAGGGAGGGAACTTGGTCTTGGCTTACTGAGCAAAGAGGAGAAAAATTATTCAGAGCGCCTGGAAGTTGGGAGGAATGGTTTGGGGGGTGGGGGGGGCGGATCTTAAGAAATGAGATCAAAAAATTTAATCTTCCCCTTGAGAGGAGAGCAGTTGGTAAATACTTCTTGAGCTCGCCTTCTCTCTTGGCTGGAAGAGCGCCCTCTTTCCCACGAGAAGCCAAACGTCGCTTCCGATGGGGAAAACGGGGGTGCTTGGAGGATACACGTCTTGCCTCCCTCCGAACCAGGCTCCGCTCCGGGGCTGTGACAGGTGGGGTGCCAGGATTACCACTTCCGAGCCCTGAAAATTTGGGGGAAGGGGGTGCCTCCCGCTCCCTCCCTCCCTCTCTGAATCCGTTTCAGTCGCCGTCCACCTTCTTGCGCAGGTTGAGGAGGCAGAGCAGGCAGGTGAGGATGGCCTCGCGGGACTGCTGAGAAGTCAGGCGGGCCCTCAGGCGCCGGAGCAGCGGCAGGAGACGCTTGCGAGCCAGCAGCAACAGGCGAGTCAGAAGGGTGCGCAGAAGCAGGAGGGCGAGCAGCGGGGCGGGCATGCTGCGCTCAGGGCGCGGGCCTGGGATCTGTGGGTGTGGAGGGAGAGAGGTACAGATAGATGCGCCGAGGTCAGAAAGGAGCGGAGGTAAAAGGGGCGCATCCTGAATCAGCCCAGCATTGCGGGGGGGGGGGGGGGGGGGGGCGGAGGGAGAGGAGGAGCGCTCCCCTCGCTGAAGAGTCCTCCCTTCCCTCCTTGCCCAAGCCTTAACTCTCTCTTCCACTCGCTATATTTAGCCCGGCTCTTCAGACCGGGAGTTCTTTAGCATGAGGTAATGTGGCTTGGACTCAGGGGAGAAGACGGCTTCCAAAAAACCTACAGGCTACTTCCACCATCTCCCGGGAAGATGGGGAACTTGGCTGGTCCGCTCGCTCCGGGACTGCTACCACCTACCGGAGTTCGGAGTTGTTGGAAGAGGAAAAAGAAAACGAAGCACGCAGACGACTCTGGAAGTTTTTAAGAAGAGATCGTACAAGCCTTTGGTCTGCAACGGTGTAGTAGGGGTTGGGCTAGAAGACCTCTAAGGTCCCTTCCAACTCTGTTATTCTGAAGGAAGGCCAAGGCGGGAAAGGGGTGAACAAAAGCATTTGGCACCGCGGGCGAGAGAAATGCCGGCGGCGGCGGCAGCAGCAGCTGGCATTAACAGCTGCGCGGAATTCAACAGGTGAAGCGCTTCTCCACATTTGTCCCTTGCCGAAAAGCGCTTCCCCTGCAAGCATTCTCAGCTGTCCGAGAGGCCGGGAGCCAAAACGCCGGAGGCCCCCGTAGCGGGCGCAGTTTTGCATTCCAGGCGGGGGCTTCGTTAAAAAAGTACCCGAGGGAGGCACCTGCAGCCCCAGGGGAGGAAGCAAACTTTTGCAAACTCGCGAGTAGGGGGTTCAAAACCGGGGAAAGGCAGGCGGGAATTAAGGCTGTAACCCTCGCTGCAGCTCGTTGCAAGGGCCGAGAGCAAGGCTGCATTCAAGGAGCTTTTGGAGCGGAGGCGGCTTCGCTTGCAAGCTCGCTCCTACCGCTAAGCGTGCGGGCCGTTTTATTTCTGGGAAGGGAAATTGCGGGTGGGAGGAGGGCAGGGTGGAACCTTCTGCTTAGGGCTCGGAGTTGTCCTAGCAACAGAGCGCGTCGGAGGCGATGATGCAATTGAATTCCACAAGGATTGGCTCAAAGCGCGGGGACTCGGAGAGGAAAGTTCTCTGGGCGCTATGGCAACGGACAATACGGACTTTTCATCTCTGGAAGGCACAGGAGAAACCCCAGCACTGCACGGCCAAGGGTTACAAATCCCAGTTGAGCCTCTACTGTGTATAGGATAGCGCTGCCCCAAACCCTCGTGATTCAAGAAGTGCATGGTGCGATCTCCGTTTTTCTCCCTCTTTTGGCCCTCTTGCGCTACGGAAGCCCAGAAGGCCCAGTTCTGAATGAGCTCGCCGGAGTGCTGCGTGATTAGGAAATACTTAGGGCCGAGTCTCTCAACCGGAGACTTTTAGAGGAACGCCGCACGTTTGAAACTCTTGAAGGAAACACGTAGGGTGCCTTGGAGAGGGAACGCGCTCGCGGGAGACGAAAATAAGAGATGCGCCCTTGCGCTGTTCTTCCACGCTCTGCCCTTAACGTTAAATTGTATGCGTGATTGCCCGCAAGTGTCAAACATGTATGCCCCACTGGTTTCCTAACATTAAGCCAATGAGGGAGAGAATCAGAAAAGAGCTGGAAGGGACCTTGGAGGTCTTCTAGTCCAGCCCCCTGCTCAAGCAGGGGATCCTATAGTATTTCAGACAAGGGACTGTCCAGTCTCTTCTTAAAAACCTCCAGACATGTAGGGAGCTAATCAAGTTTGTACTTATGCATTGTTTCAAAGACTGAACACAGAAACTAACAAGATCCAACTTCCTCCATACTTCTCTATGCACATTCCCGGTAATGCCCAAATTGATAGTGGAATGAAAGGGGCAAGTGGTAGCAATTACATACCTGAGTAGTAAACAGCATTGGGCTGCAACATGTGTGTGCTCCTAGCAAAACAAACAAACAAGATAGTCACATATTACACTGTAAGTTCATTCAGGCATGCGGGATCTGCATTTTGCATCTGCCATCCTGTTTTGTCGCAGAATACACTACGCATGTATAAAAAAAATAAACAGATTTTTAGACTGCGTGGTAGCAGTGAGAATTATTTAAACATTCACAGGTACAAACTGTTATGTCAAACTCAGGCTGTTTCCCACACTATGGCCAATGAGCTGGATATACAGAAGAAGAGACATTTGATAACATTCCTGCTTCCCCTTGCATATCCCATGCAATATATGATGTCATATCTGTAGGCAAGCTGCCTGCCCGCACCAAGGCTTAAGCTGCCTGCAGATAGGTTCTGCTGCATTAACAACACAGAAGAATAAAATACACCAGTATTATTTTGTGCTAAGGGTGGGTTTGATTGCAGCTGTCATTTGATCTGCAGCAATTTTACTCCAGTTGCCCATAGAAGATGAGATTAGATGGACATCAATTACCAGCTCCTTAAAAGATGCTTTTCTGACATTTTTCACCCCCTTTGAAGAACAGCATTTGAATTTGGAACAGCCAGTGAAACAGTGTTGAGAAGAAAATCAAGCATACAAATGTCTTTTTATTCACTATCCAGTACTAGAATGGACCTAGGCTTATACACATATTTTCTCATAGCATGCTTCTGTTCAGAGGCAAACACCAGGCATGCCCTTTGGCATCAGGATCATAGATGTAATTATGTTGAACAAGAGTGCTCTCTTTTGGGGTCAAATTCTGCAATTTAGGTTCTGTATTTGTTTGCGTAATGAGTGACCTCGAGGGACTTGTTCACACGAAACAATAAGTCTTTTGCTCTGTCTTACTTGATTAATTAACTGTAATAATGGTGGGGGGGGAATCTGTGGGACAGGATATTCCATGCAGTCTTGCTGCCAGCACAGCCACACTGTTTCACTTAGAGTGGAAGGGTTACCCTTTTTATTTGCAATCATAAAAAATCTAGAATACAAGATGAACATTTTCATAAAATATCGGCCAGTGCAGATGAATGAACTGGCCTGTTTTAGTGATGTTTTATTAATGGAATTCATTATAATTGGTGAGGTCCTTGATACTCCCTGAGCTTGGATATTTATTTGTAGACATTTAATTACTTGTCTAGGTAATGAAGGGCACCGACTGGATGCACTGATGATATTACGTAGTTGGGTAATGAAATGTCTATAACTAAGCTCAGATAGCACCGAGGACTTCACAATTCAACTTAAAGTTACATATATTTATCACTGGAATTATAACTTGATGTGCTTGAGGGTGTGTGTGTGTGTGTACACGTGCATTGTTTTTGTGCACACACACACACAGAGAGACAATTTCTGCTAACTTGTTGGGATTATTCATTGCCAGCAGAGGCAAAAGTTTCACAAACCTTTTTCATCCATCACCAATCCAAAAACAGTCATTTTAGCTATAGGATTCAAGGTTTAAAAGTCATATTCAAGGATAAACTTTTAAAAAAACTACAACAATCTCTCAGGTTATCTCCATGTAATGTTTTGTGAACATTTTTAATGACTGTTTTCTTTAAATTAATAACTTTAATATAGACACTCTGGAATTAGAAGATGTTTTTCAATAATTTGGAGTCAATAATTTAGACATCAGCATCAGTTATCTTTTTGTTTATAAAGCACATTTTTAAATTAAACATGATTAATACTATCTTTGTAATCTATAAATGCAGTTTAAGAAGTGACTGATTATTTTATTAACCATTTAAACTCTGCAATTTGCATAGAACAATATTTCTTTAAATCATTTCATACTAGTTGCCATGTTAAGTATGTTTTCATTATTTCCTTTATATCAAAAATATTCTTTAACACAGCAGAAACAATTTTAGATGCATATTACATCAGAAATATAAAGTTAAGAGAAGGCAAATAAATGATATATCTTCACTTACCTTTCACTCAAAATCTCATTCCCTAAGGACCCGCGTATTCATATTATTATTTTTATCATATATGTATGTCTGGAATCACATATAAGCCTAAAATTTGTTTAAAAATTAATTGTTACAATTGGTCACAATTCTTTCTTCATGCATAGCTCTGTCTCATGACATCTCAGTAAAAAAAACCAGGCACTTAAAAAGTCCACTGCAACCAATAGGAAATTAGTACTAAGCAAGTTAAATCCCATTGAGTTGCATGGTTTACCCTAAGTTTACCCTTCACTTAACTCTTTATACACAAGCTGACCTTAGAAACCATAGTAAAAAGCCACTTCAGTTTTCAATTAGAGCAGCCAATAAACACTACAGAGGGATGTGATTAATCTCCCCCCCCCATTGCTATATTCTTCATAGTTGCTTATAATAGGAAATTCAGATCCTTTGGGAGATGTCTACAAGAAATCCTTCCATAGTACTTGTCTATGACTAGTTCTCAGAAAAGTGTGTGTGCACCAGAGTAAATCTTACTGTCCTTCTTTAGGTTCCTCCCTTGCTCTCCTCTTCCAAAGGTGCAGAAGCGTCCTTCTCTGAACCACCATTGACAAAATCACTTGCCTGCACCATCAACAGCTACCATATGCCTTGATACTAAGGAACAATTTCTCTCCCACCAAAAAAAAAAAAAAAATCACTTCTTATCAGCTGTCCTTTTAGAACTATGCTCGCACCTGGCTTTCCCTCGCCCATAGAAAGGGGTGGGAAACAAACACATGCTTGGTGTCAATGATAGTTGACAGCCTTGACATTGTCTGTTGGGAGGGTAGTCCTAGCTCTTGGAAAGTTCAGAGGGTGTGAGGAAGATAAGGAATCCTTGCATCCATACTGCACAGTTTACATCATCTGATATGGGCAACATCTGTTGAAAAGACATATGGAAGTCCTGCTCAGGCACCCTTCTTAATAATATTCTAT